ATGGGATCTCGGAAGAAAGGTATTATCCCACTATTTTCATTTGTGTGCAAAAAAAGTCATTCGTGTCCCATTTTTTTTCAAATACCAATTCAACTTTGAATGATGTTCGTTCATCCTACCTTTGAATGAGCTTACTAGCAAAGAATTAAAAAGGGTGAGAAAATACCTTTCCAATGATACCTCACAAGTCTAACTCGAAGGAGTTTAGGTCCAGTTATTCAAGTTTTTCTAATACCAGTCTTTTAAAAAAGTTAAAAAACAGCATCAAAAATCTCATTATTACGATTCCATTGAAAATTTTTTAAAGATATTTTTGTGCAAATTTTTTAAGCTTAAACCGTTTTGTCATTTGAGGGGATTTTTTCAAAAAACATCTTTAAGAAACTACTTTAATTCATAAAATATATTCAAATCGGTCCAGCTCGCTTAAATCTTAATATTTTTCCGAAATATTTTGGTGGACGTCTTAAAATATAATAGATTCTATAATTCCAAAGGAAAAACAGTACCTTTTTTTTGTATGGGAAATGATGCAGTCTAATATACATACATACATATTGTAAGTATGTATTCACATGTATTTACAAGACTGAATATTCGTAAGTATACGCCCTGTTGCGTATAAGACGTATATGAATATCAGTATAAAATGCGTTTTAATGGTGCTAAACTACAAAATGGTCTTTGTCATAAATTATTGCTAATATTCTTATTTAAATTTTGTATAAAAATGTGCTTAAGGGAGTAAATTCATACATATCTTATCATTCATCTCAGCTCTGTGCTTTCCACCAGAGTTGATCATAAAATTCACAATTCATCATTTGTATTTTCCGTATAACACGTTAGTTATATGGGTGCCACATAGTAGTTGGACAATGTAACTGACATCTAGGAATAAGGGATGTGTATGGTCTTGTGTGGTATACAGTACTTAAATAACACCGTGCGGCAGCCAATTTTACACACAAAAAATTTACACATTCGCGAAACTATGGACCAAATATACACCTTTATTCTAGAACCCGCTACGTTACGAAAAACGAAAAATCGACATGCTGCAACCCTTGTGGAAACATGTGCAGTATTGCCAATTATCAGTTGTTTTTCGAAGACAGCTGTATGAAGGAAAACAAAGTGGGAAGGAATTAAAAAACACTCATCAAGTGCTTATTCATATGTAGTAAGATTGTTTGATTTTACATATTTGGAGGAAACGATGGATTCTATTGCATTTGCAATTATAGCAGCGGAGTAAGAGCGTCCTGTGGAAATGAATTCACAAATATATGCGGAGATGTAGGGCATAGTAACCATGGACGCATCTATGCCAGCTTCTGGTTCAATTGTTGAACCACAATCCATAACTCTTCCTATGCCTGAATAACTGGTTCTCAATCCAGTTAATGCAATAACAGCTTATTCCCAGCCATCGAAAACATGCACTTTGTTAGGTCCCCCACCTGTTGCGCTTGCTTCTGCGTTCGGCCGCGCTAAGGGATTATAACCCTTACTAAGTAGAATTCTCCTTTCTGTGTTGCCGGAGACGAGGGGCTTCTGCATGTCAAAGGTATAAAACATTTCTTGTGCATATAACTCCGGGTACGCCATCCACAGTATTTTTGCGCAGAACCCACATCGAAATTTACAAAAGAGTGCATAGTGCAACCCGAATTTATTAATAAACGAGTGCGCTGAAATTTGAAACATTTGTTTTACACGTATAAGTTAAAGTTTTTAGATTCGGGTTACGCTTTTGGACACAACAACCGAAAATCATGGTACAAATAACTAAACCAGACCCAAGTGTCTCGATAAGAGGCAACAAACATTCTCTTTTGTTCGTTCATATTTATAAAGCAGTGGATAAAAATATACGTATGTACATTAGACTGCAACACTCCCCTTACAAAAAAAAAATCGGTACTCTTTTTCCATTGGAATTATAAAGTCTATTATATTTTTAGACGTCCAAAAAAATATTTCAGAAAAATATTTAGATTTACGTGAGCTTGACCGATTTGAATATACCTCCAAAAATAGAGCTTTTTATGAATAAAAATAGTTTCTTAAAGATTATTTTTTCAAAAATCCCCTCAAATGACAAAACGGTTTGAGCTTAAAAAATATTTCCTGCAAACACACACCGATTTACATCTTTTATCTCGCTTCCGACACAGAATTGTTTTCGTACAAAGTTACAGAAAAAACTGTAAATGTCTTACTCGTTTGTTTTAAGGCATGTCATTGTTACGCGAAAGTGTTTGCAGAATAGGTGTAAAGCTGCGATTCTAGTTTTTCTCTCTGACGTCAGGATTTTGAAATTGGAAAAATTAGTAATTAATTTAAAAAATTATTTTAAAAATTCAGTGCAATGTACATAGAAAAACAGTATCGAATTAAAGAGAAAATTCTGTAGAATTGAAACAAAGCATAAGGACGAGAGATATTTTGAAAATGTCCTTTTAAAATTTTATCCTTGAATACCATTGACATTTTGCATTACTTATTTTTGAACAATTTCTACATATGGGCGATTACACCGTCACGGGTGGGGCATTTTTACAGAAAAAATGTTTTTCTTGTTTAAATTTAAGTATAAAGTAGTCGACAATTCTACATTTTGACAAAACTAAACCTAATTGACTATTATAAGAGTTATTACAAAATACGAAAAAAATTCCAACTTACTTTTATATGGAAAAAATCTGACTTATTTCTTCTGTCACGGGTGGTACAAAAAAGAATCTGCTTTTTGGAGCAGATATATTTTGCGGAAAGTCTGCGAATTTACTTCACTTTTCTGTATGAACTGATGTCTTATAATAAAACAAAGAACCACGAATACAAAAGAAGCAAAAAACACAACAAAAATTATTGCTTTAATATAAAAAAATTCGAAATTCCTCTGTCACTGGTGGGACACATACGAATTTTTATATGAAAAGGAGCTTTCAGTGTGGTCCATATTAACCCAGTTATTAACAAGTAAGAAAGTCTCAGTTCGGGCGGAGCCGAAAATTAAATACCCGGAGCAAGTATTAAATATATGTTTTTCACCTTTCTGAAAACTACCGCTACATGGTAAGCCGGGGTGGTTTTACCCCTATTTTAATCATCTTCGATAGAACGTTCAGTTAGGCATAATGAAATAAACTTATATAGTCATATGTGGGCGGTATCACGCCCATTTTCCAAAATTTCAAATAATGTTACTTTTTTTCAAGGTATTGTTGTTAGTATCAATTTTGAGTAAATTAGAGCGCTTAAATTTCGACATATTGAAGTTTCAGGCAGTTCTGAAATTTACCGTTATATGAAAAGTGGCCGTAATTTTAGTCCGATTTCAATCATTTTCAAAGTTTGGCTTTTATGTGGCAAGCACAATAACCGTACCAAGTTGGGATCAAATCGGTAGAACGGTTACCGAGATACATATATGTGATTATAAGTGGGCGTTGCCACGCCCATTTTCCAAAATCTTATCATAAGCGTATTTCTTGGCAATGAATTGTTGCAAGCATCAATTTTGAATAAATTAGCTCTAGTAGGGAGAGCGGTTACCAAGATATACACATGTAACCATAAGTGGGCGTGGTACGCCCATTTTCCAAAAATTTATAATATTCTTATTTTTCGTCTAAAAAGTATCGTAAATATTAATTTTGAGTGAATAATCTTCAGTAGTTACTAAACTATCGCAGTTTTCGTATTTCTGAAAACTACCGTTATATGGGAGGTAGGCGTGGTTATTTTCCGATTTTGCCCATTTTCAATACCGTTCGTCCTACGCCTGAAAGAAGTACACGTACAAAGTTTTGTTAAGATATCTCAATTTTTACTCGAGTTATCGTGTGCACAGACGGACTGACAGTAACCGCTTAATCGATTTCTCTTTTCAGACTGATCATTTATGTATACATTTGTCTATATCTGTCTGGCCAAAATGCCACTTAACTTAATCAGCTGACGACAAGGGTGTATAACTAATGGGCGAGTCCGCGCTTCCCTCCTCCTCGCCTGCGTCCACCTCAACAACCTAATAAAGCTTATCAGCCCTGTAAACGCACCTCTGACAACTGTTCCACCCGTAGCTGTCACGGGTTGGACATGCTTCACTGTTGAATTATTCATAGCTAACTATGTGGAAACGAAAATGCAATTGTGGTAAACATTTGCAATGAATTTCTAACATTAGGTAACAAACACGAAACGCAACTTCAAATTCTGTAATTAAATATAACAACTTTTAGCTTTTTTTGTCACGGGTGGTACAAGACCAATACTGCTTAATAATAACTCATAATATAGATAAAGCACTCACAAAATTCAATATATAACACAATTTTATTAAAAGCAGATGAGTTCTACTATACATATATTATTCTCACCAAACACTTAAATTATGAATCGCAAACTATTTTACAGTACTTTCAACATAACCTACTTTAGACTCAGTCAAAAAATTTACTTAGAACTTGATTTCAAAACGTAAAAAAATTAATAAAAATGCACTTAAAGCTTTAATTTGTTATTTTTTGGTTGATTAAAGATTTTTACAAATGTCTTATCAACACGTTTGTTAGCTTTATAAAGAAAATAATTTTTACACTGAGGTTCAGTTTCTCATGGAGCCTTCCATATGTTAAGTAATAATATACACTCGACTACATCCTCGAATTTCGTCCTAACGTTATTAGCTTAAAAATATAAAACTAAGTAAAATTACAATTTCAATACCTATTCGCCCTTCTACAGAAATTTCTCTTTCATTTGGTACCCGTATTGTTATCCTACATTGCACTGAATTTTTTGATGCATTTTGAAATTATACATATAAAATTACAAACTCCTCTTAAAAAAATTCTGACGTCAGAGAGAAAAACTACACGCAGTTTTCCTACATTTGGCCCATAGTTTTGTGGGTATATCGATTGCTTCGCTGCATTTTCAAAAATGCTCCCTTTGCTCACACTGATATGCGTGCGAGCTTATATTTCTATTAACGACGGAACGAACGAAACAGGCAGCAAGCGAAGAGAATAGTCAGAAGCTGTAATTAATTTCAAAAAAAGATAACAAAATTAGTTGGGAATCGTCCATGAACGTGTAAAAAATGTTACCTGAATACACGCAACTCCAAGTACCACACCAGCTAGGGTCAACGTCTTGGAGTCAAGAAGTTTGAGTAGTTTATTTAGACATCCTTCCGAGTGAGCATGAACCACAGTACAGTCCTGAGCCTCGTTTAGATTGATAACAGCGCAGCATGCAGATGGCAACGAGGTATTGTGGAATATTGGTTCCCAATCTTTTGGACCAAAAGTGCCACAACAATCCATCTGAGGAATAAGGTAAAAAATACACTATTAAAATATCTCAAATTTTTTATTTCCATGATAATTTCATTACTCGATTCGTGGCCGTAAGGGAGCATTAAAAATGTCGAGCCCTAACCGCCAAAAGGGCGTAAGCGGCAACATGTTCGATTTTCTGTTTTTGACAGAAATCGATTACCTACCACCATACGCACCAGCGTCAAAATTTCAAAGTCCTACGAAGCACCGTTACAAAGTTATAGCGAAAGCAATTTTGGCTTAAGTGCTTAATTGTACTCCGTTTACATTGTTTTGTGCCCGCAGTGTCGGTTAAGCCTTTTTCTCCGTGAACAACTTTTCATTGCAGAGGGGAATTCTTCATTTTTGTGTGAAAGTTTTGAAGTGCCTCTATTTTAAAAGCTTTTATTTTACTTGCTCTGTATGTTTTTTTTTTTTNGTCAAAAAATTTACTTAGAACTTGATTTCAAAACGTAAAAAAATTAATAAAAATGCACTTAAAGCTTTAATTTGTTATTTTTTGGTTGATTAAAGATTTTTACAAATGTCTTATCAACACGTTTGTTAGCTTTATAAAGAAAATAATTTTTACACTGAGGTTCAGTTTCTCATGGAGCCTTCCATATGTTAAGTAATAATATACACTCGACTACATCCTCGAATTTCGTCCTAACGTTATTAGCTTAAAAATATAAAACTAAGTAAAATTACAATTTCAATACCTATTCGCCCTTCTACAGAAATTTCTCTTTCATTTGGTACCCGTATTGTTATCCTACATTGCACTGAATTTTTTGATGCATTTTGAAATTATACATATAAAATTACAAACTCCTCTTAAAAAAATTCTGACGTCAGAGAGAAAAACTACACGCAGTTTTCCTACATTTGGCCCATAGTTTTGTGGGTATATCGATTGCTTCGCTGCATTTTCAAAAATGCTCCCTTTGCTCACACTGATATGCGTGCGAGCTTATATTTCTATTAACGACGGAACGAACGAAACAGGCAGCAAGCGAAGAGAATAGTCAGAAGCTGTAATTAATTTCAAAAAAAGATAACAAAATTAGTTGGGAATCGTCCATGAACGTGTAAAAAATGTTACCTGAATACACGCAACTCCAAGTACCACACCAGCTAGGGTCAACGTCTTGGAGTCAAGAAGTTTGAGTAGTTTATTTAGACATCCTTCCGAGTGAGCATGAACCACAGTACAGTCCTGAGCCTCGTTTAGATTGATAACAGCGCAGCATGCAGATGGCAACGAGGTATTGTGGAATATTGGTTCCCAATCTTTTGGACCAAAAGTGCCACAACAATCCATCTGAGGAATAAGGTAAAAAATACACTATTAAAATATCTCAAATTTTTTATTTCCATGATAATTTCATTACTCGATTCGTGGCCGTAAGGGAGCATTAAAAATGTCGAGCCCTAACCGCCAAAAGGGCGTAAGCGGCAACATGTTCGATTTTCTGTTTTTGACAGAAATCGATTACCTACCACCATACGCACCAGCGTCAAAATTTCAAAGTCCTACGAAGCACCGTTACAAAGTTATAGCGAAAGCAATTTTGGCTTAAGTGCTTAATTGTACTCCGTTTACATTGTTTTGTGCCCGCAGTGTCGGTTAAGCCTTTTTCTCCGTGAACAACTTTTCATTGCAGAGGGGAATTCTTCATTTTTGTGTGAAAGTTTTGAAGTGCCTCTATTTTAAAAGCTTTTATTTTACTTGCTCTGTATGTTTTTTTTTTTTAATACAAGGAGAACGCATCGAAAGCCTAACCACCGTAGAGTGGAACTTCAATCCGAACTAAAACGTCTTGTCTTGCTCTGTATGTATGTTTGTTAGGGGCAAATCTTGCAATCAATTTTTGATCAACTTCCCGATGACCTAGAGACTTGCAACTTCACAGTTGGCTCAGAACCCGAGGACAATGCAATACGAAAGATGAGTTAATCCGATAGGTGGCGCAGGAGTCGAGATATTTGAAAATCCCGTATTTTTAGTCCGATTTGGTTCATATTTAGAACGTATATTAACTACATGAAAAGGAATAACTGCACTAAAAATATTGCCGAGTCTGGTAAACCAGTATTTTTGGTCCGATTTCGTTCATATTTAGAAAGCTTGCTTTAAAAGTTATTGATTTTACAATTAACTTATTTCTTCCAAATATGGACTATTTACAAACAAAGGTAAATACATATATTTGTGGTACATTAAGACTTTTAATCAAAAGTATAAAAATATAATACATGTATATGGTGTTAAAATCAGGGTTCGGAAATTCTCACTCACATTCTCTCACGTTTGCGATCATTAATACTCCACAATTATTTTTGCATTATTTTATCGCGAGTAAAAAATGAAAACAAATTTATCATCTCTCACATTCGGAATGCGATCGACAAAAAAATTTCCGCTGCTTTTCATTCGCGATCGAAAAAAGCAAAGAAATTTCATCTCACTCGAAAATGAGAAGTCCGAGCATTGCCGATGTTGGCCTCTCATAAATGGGAAAAACATTGCAAGTAATCCATTCGCGATCACTCACAACAGCTTATCGCGATAAACTTATCGCGAAAAATTTTCAACGGCGTTGTATGGGAGATATTTTTAGCGTTTGTTGCCCTGCAGGAAATGTGTCTAACTATAAGCTAACTTTATGTTGATTAGGAAGGAGCTAAAAGTCACTTATTATCTGTATATTTTCTTTGACGAAAGCTAACTATATTTCTATGGCGATGGCCGCGAAATAGTCAAGGGTGGTTTACCACTGCATTAGATGTAGTCAAGGGTGGTTACCTCTGCATTTGATGCAACTAACTTGCAACTAACTACTTTTGGACATAAAATATCAACAGGAAAACAAAATATTTTATTTTTATTTACTTTATTTATTTTAAAACATTTCACATTTGTTTCTATATTCTGCTGTAGGTGGTCCCATATTCGAACTCCGTGAGACATAACTTCAAAATGATAATATGAAATTTCGATCTCCCTTTTATTTGCCCTCAATTCGAAAAAGTATTTGCGAAGTGCAGGATATTTAAATAGAAACGCGTTTAACGAAAACAATCTCGACCCTTACTCCTGCATCACTTGTCCATGGACACTTGTGTCAAGTTAGCTTTTTGTAGCTAACCACAAGTTATATATTTTATAGAAATCCCGCAAAAAGGCTAACTACAAGTAGGTTATTTCTTATCAATTGATAATTTTTTTCTGCAGGGTATGCATACAGTATACATACATACATACATATGTACATATGCAATGTACGCAAATGCTTTTCGGTTGGAAGGAATGTAGGAATATGCACAAATATATGAATTATGGTGGTAATATATGTATGTAGAAGTGCGAAATGTAGAATTTTGTGAAACAGAATTTCAAAATATGGAACTTTCGAAAACAGAATTTTGAAAAAGAAGAATTGAAAAGGACCGAATTTTGCTCTATCAGGATTTTTTTTTATTTTTCAGAATTTTGCGATGTAGAATTTTGAAATGAGCGTAATGAGACGCTCCCTCGTTATACAGTAGGGCGTGTCACGAAAAAAGTTTAGCCTGTGTCCATGATTCAATAATTAAAGGTTAGATAATTATTGTCAGCCGAGGTTTGACACTCCCTCACAAAAGGTTGCATTTACGAAGGACGGAGAAAGGGGAAGAATGAAATTCCTTGGTGCGAATATGGTAGTAGAAAAGTACCCAAAGTAGGCACTTAGTAGTTATATGCTATTTAGCGGTATAAAAATTGCGCAAAATTAAAATAAAACTATTATAAGTTTTAGGTAAACATCGAATTTAAAAGCAATTTTTGTTTTCATCAGTTAAATGTGCTTTATATGCATATACAAATAAACAATACTGTACAAAAACATATAATTCTATTTCACATGAAAGCTACACTTTTTCAAGTAAATTTGCAAAGTAGCAACACGGTGCCACTGCTAAGGGAGCGGTGCGAGAGAGACAACTGTCAGTTTATCTAACCTTTAATTATTGAATCATGGCCTGTGTCAGTTTTATTTGAACACTTATGTCAAACAGTGGTATGTAATTGCATATTGCATCGCATTTCTGTTTCGAATCGTATTACAGAGCAGCCTCTTAGATTTTTTTTGGAAAATATAAACTTAGATTCCACGTACATATCGTCGTTTAAATTACAAAACCGCATATCAACAAAATGCAAAACCGCGTATGTGAGGTTGCATAAATTATTTTCTAGAGAGTAACGCGGTTTCGTACTTTAAATGACGATATGTATGTATGTATGTATAAGTCTTCGAATCCACTTTACTAAATATATTAGTATTTGGCCGACTACGAACGGTGATTGTATTTTTAGGAGAAGCTGTTTTCCATATCTCGGAGGTTTGCCATAGCCTGCTGAGGGGTGACCGCTATTAGAAAACTTTTACCTATCTAATACATATCTGTGTATGGAATAGTAGCTTATCCCTTTATCCTTTAAACGACAAGGAATTTTTTGATGAGACTTAACTAAAGACTTGCTAGTATCGGAACTATTTTGTGCACGTTTATTTGCGAAACTGAGTCATTCGCAATCGTATGCCACATATAAAGCCAGCCTTTCGACATAAGCTACTATTCCATATAAACACAGATATGTATATGTGGGAACGTATGAACAGAGGGTAATCATTTACCTACGACAAACAAATAGAACTCTGAACATAGTGTGAGGGCAACACTGACTACATAGAAAAGGACGAAACAAAAATGACAAAAGACACGAAGACGAAACCACAAAGACACTTGTTGCGCGACTTTAAACCCGAACGGACGTGGTAATACTCACGCTTACTGTTATACGTACAAAAGAATATTTAATTTAAGTTTTACATGTACCTAAGCCTAGAGTGTTAATTGAAAGTACTCATTAAATAAATCAATTTTATTAATACCAACATCAAAGCTATGTTTTAAGTGCCCTACACTCGGTAAACCCTACAATTGGTGTCAGAGTAGGATTCGTTGAAAATTCCTACGTCTTGTGACAAGTGCTGTGCGGGAAAATTTTCTTGCTAATTGTGTGACATTTTTAACAAAGACAGTTCAGCAAATTTTATTTTCGCAACATACATATGTACGTAAGAGTATTATCACAGTCCATTCTTCGGTTCGGTTGAAATGTTGTCCAGTGCGTTAATATATTGTGACGAATACTGCGGCAATGCGAAGCGAACAACGAGAAATAGGCAGAATGACGTAGAATGTTCCACAGAGAGAAACGTCGAGTTGGATGAACACTGCGAACAGCGAGAGAAAGAGAATGAGCGATAAACTTCAGAACGTTCTAGAGTTGCCATAAGTACGAGCGCAGGTATATAAGGGCGCCGCCACAGCGAAGTGAGTTAGTTACAAGTCAGCAAGCTACAAGTAAAGTGAGCAGAGAAGTGAGTTGCGAATAAGCAAGCTATAAGTTTAATTGTGTTAACAAGTTTAGTAAAGCGTTGTTATTGCTTTAACAAGTATTNTAACAATCCAGCGATACGAGCCCAAGTATATTTGGGAAATCCCTCAAGGTTTCGAGGATAATCGTAACAATTGGAGTCAGAAGTGGGATTGTTAAATAAATCCCGAAGGATAAACTTTTGAAAATGGGAAAAATTCACGACTTAAAGATTGAGGAACTCAAACAGGAGTTGGAGAAGCGAAATTTAGCAACCTCCGGAAGAAAAGTGGAGTTACTATCACGGCTGCGAGAGGCTATGGAAGCAGAAGGCATCGACGTGGACAAATACGACTTCCAGGGTAAACTTGACGATGCATCCGCAAAGGATGAACAGAAGGATGAGGCCACTTGTTCGTCGAAGGATATGCAGCAGACATCCGGGAAGGTTGAAGAACAGCAAAAGTCTCCAAGTTCATTAACAGCTATGGACATGAACACGTTATTAGCTGCCATGTCACAGATATCACAGCTGTCGTCACAGATGCAAGCACAGGATACACGAATGTCACAGATTTCATCCCAGCTGCAAGTGCAGGAAACACGCATGTCATCGCAGCTAGATGAAAAGGTTACTCAGCTACAAGAGAATTAATTCAAAAATAACGCGGAACTGAGAGAGCGACATAATAAAATCGAGGAACGACAAGATAAAATTTAAGCGGTTATTAAGGAAAAACAGGAGAAAGTCGAAGCTAAGGTGGATGAGCTTGAAGATCGTCTCCGGGGTTGCAGTTGAATCGTCCAGCTACTTCAACGAACGCTCCCCAGGTAAAAACCCCATCCTTTGACGGCACGATTCCTTTCCAGGTCTTTAAGCTCCAGCTCGAAAA